AGTTTATTTTGAGGTCAGACTGAAAGTTGCTAAATCAATTAACAACACTGAAAATATGAAATCAAATTAGCCACAGCAGGTCTCTTAAATGGCTAATCCAGGTAGAGTATCATCAAAGAGCTTAACTCTTGACACAGAGCATTAAATGTTCCATTGAAATTTGATTTTGTGAGTTTGGTGGTATGGCAAAGTTCAAGTTACAGCAGTGTGAAGCTGCAGCTATCCATTAGCAACTTTCTCACCCTCCACCATCATCCACACACAAGAGTTAGAAGAGATCAACAAAATGTCGTCCAAGTGCCTTTCAATTATTACCCATTGTCAGACCCTTGTAGGGTGAGACACAAGTAGACCATCAAAAAGCTAATGCCTTTTGATGGTCTAATTAACAACATGAGGTTAATGTGTCTGGATGGATAGTAATGATGTTATAGGCCACTTTTTCCTCATGCTACATCACCACGCCACTTAAAGCACTGTGGCAGAAAAACAAGCCCCCGAAGTGAGAAAAATCAAAGCAAACGCCCTGTGGCTGGAACTGTACTATTAGTCAGAGGTTCATGGACAGCAAAAGGGAATGTGTGGGTGTGTTTGACAAAGTTGTCATGACAAGCAATGTTTCAAACAAACAGCAGTAAATTGTGGAAAGGTCAGCCTGCAGAGTTCAACGTGCAATGTACCAAAATTAATAAATGAACAGAACACTAATAAAATGAGTTCTAAGACTTTGTATCTTGAATACCAGATCTCAAGCTTTCGTTTTTAGACAAAACCAGGTGAGGATAATGCTAATGCTACCACATGGAAAGCTAGCGTCAACTAGCTTTCCATGCATATGTTGCTGGAGAGTATCAAGACGCTTTCTAACAACCTAAAACAGCCAACAGTTCTACCAACTGCGCCACTGTGCAGCCCCTTGTCTCATACAAGACAGAAAACTATTAATGTTGCTTTGTTTTGTGAAACTAGTAGAAGAGCATATTGATTTACATTGGAGTTTATTTTACACTGTTGGGCAAGAGTGTTTAATTCATCTCAGGGTTTCTTACACAGTTACATTTTTTTCTACAACAGTTTCAGTGTAATGATATTTAGATAACTGAATGTGAATAACAATTAGAACTGTATGGAAATTAGCTTGAAGCTAAGAATAGTGTTACAAAAATGTTTTAATTTTTGCAACACTTCGCTCTGTTAACAATTCCATGTTCTGATGTCTGAAAAGAGGTAAAATATTCAGTACATTTGTTTTCAACTGGATCTATGTAATTGAATAGATTTTGCAACACAGATCATACTTGTTTTATTGTTTTGTATGTTGCTTTTAATTTATTTATTTTTACATTTTGTACAGCACTTTGTGACCCTGGTCTGTGAAAAGTGCTATAGAAATAAAGTTTAGTTACTTACTTACTTACTTACTTATTTTCTTTCTTTCTTTCTTTCTTTCTTTCTTTCTTTCTTTCTTTCTTTCTTTCTTTCTTTCTTTCTTTCTCTCTTTCTTTATATAATTAACTAACTCATTTAGAAAAGTGAGCAAGTTTTCTACAGGTGAGGCCTTCAGGGATTTTACTGACTGAGCCAGCATCCAGTCTGACAAACTGGTGATGGCGGACCAGTTGGTCACTGTTGGACATAAGAGACCAGAGGAAAGGACTGAATGACAGAAATTTGCAGAGCCCAGAACATCAATAATATTGATAAGTTATCAGCATGGGATCAATACTAGTATATTGATACTTGTATCGAGACAGAATCCTACTTAAAATTGTATTTTATTTTTGTATTGTAGTTTCTCAACACTTCCTCAAAACAGGTTTTGTTTTGTTCTGCTCTCAAACGACAATTTTTGGCATTTTGTTTATTTACGAAAATAATGCATGCAAACTCCTAAATGTCAGGAGTTTCATGATGTTTCAAACTTACATAAAAAGTTTAAGTTTTAAACTTTTTATTTAAGTTTGACCTTTTGTTTCCAGAATTAGACATTTAGTTTGCATTCTGCCTGCACTCTCAAACTCTGTGCTGAGAGTACAGTGTCTGAATGCCTGTACAGTTGTGTGAGTACCTGGCAGGTGCATCTGACGTTTGGTTTTCTAAAAGTGAGAAGTTTCATGATATATCAAACTTACATAAAAGTACTGGCATTAGTATGGTTCCTGTATTTGCTTGGCATCAAATCGATACCAAAATATGCAGTATCACACACATCAAAACCATGCAGTTGAAGCAGCTCTGTGTTTATACACTACACACTCCAGTCTACATTTAGTGGGGTTGTGCAGATCTGTAAGTCAGCCACCATCCTCAGCAGTCCTTTAACATTTGCTTTTGCCTGACTTCAGCAACAGTGACTAAACACTTTTATGTTGTTTATATTTTTAATAAGGCTTTCATGTTGAAATCAGACAGCAAAGTGTTTGACGGTACAGGGGGAATACCATTCTGCAAACTATGTATGTCTAATTCTGGAAGCAAAAGAAAGATAATTTATTTATTTTTTCTTAAAATCATGGTTGTTTCTGTGTTTCTACAATAGTTTATTGAAATGTACGTATTTATTTATTTGCAACTGCAGTTTTATTTGCAGCTGCAGATTTTTTGTTGTGACTTCTTGCACAATAACAAATGATTTTTATTCTTCTTATTCAGATGATGCACCAAAATGTGACAGTCAAAATATTGATACTCTTGTGTACTTTTTCACATGACAACAAATACTTAGAAGAGAGTGCCCTCACTGCACGAGAGAATAATAACACCCTTTTGATCTCCATATTAAACGCTGAGTTCGATTCACACCAGAGCACTTCACTTCACTGGAAGCGAACCAGACTTTGTTTCCTTGAACAGCCGATGGATGATCTGTTTAAGCAGATTGTGCGGTCCGAAAAAGTGCAGGAGAGAAAATGACATCTCTATGGATAATTTTCACTGTTTCACTCGTGTCTTTTCATGTTGCAGCTGTGATGTTACATAGAGAACAACACACTGTTAGCTCCTGTTTTACCTGCTGCTCATTCCAAGGCTTTAGCATTATGTCGCTGACATAGCCACCTGGTGTAACTGCTTGCTGTTACTTGGATGGTCTGTTGTGTGTGAAGATAACCATCCAGAATAAAGATGTGAAAGCACACCACCCTGGACTTTGTCATCTGGCAGGTGCATCTGACGTTTGCTGCCACCTCCACTGTGAAACATGGAGGTGGCAGCATCATGCTGAGCAGGATGATAAAAACTGTTCAGAATTGATGGGGAGATGGACTAAGGGTTAAGTGTGGAGGAGTGGTTTAGATCAGAACATGTTCATGTTCAGTACTGACCTAAACCCAGCACAATCTGTGACATGACTTGGATATTAATATTCACCAAATCTGAGCTTCAGCTATATTTCAGAATCAGAATCAGAATCAGAAGAATTTATTGTCATTGTCAGAAAGACAACGAAATTGCAGTTTCAGTTCCAACCATCCATTACACACACACATTTGCCACAATGGTGGGGGTACAAAGTATTGTACTGAATATAAACGTACAGTACAGTCCAGCAAGAAAAGATTTTTATTTACTACATTCCATTTTTCTCAGTTACACACTCCTTTGTTTGCATCCATCAGTTAAAATGTTTAAAACATTTTTTATGTTTGTAGTAGTCCTGTGGCAAGTAGTAGAGGTATGTGATACTGCATACTTTGGTATTGATCTGATACCAATGAAATATTTGGCCAGTATCACCAATACTGATAGACACTTTTTATTTAAATTTGTAATATAATTACTGACATTTAAATGTTTCTGTGGTTTTTACTTGGAATTATTTTGTTCAATCCTTGGACAGAATTTGGACAAAGTTTATTGGCATCTATAAAACACAATGATATCACATTAACATGAGTTGTGTGTATTTTTTCTAAATAAAGTGCAACAAATAACCATTTGAGAGCAAATAAAAAGATATTGAGTTGAGAAACTATAATACAAAAGAAAATGGAATCTGAAACTAAAGTATTGATTTTAACACACTGGTATCGATCCAATATTGATACTTTGGTATCGATATAATTGATATCTTTTATCGATCCGCCCACCTCTAGGAAACTGAAAAGTTTTAGAGGTCTGAAGACTGTAGCAAGGCACCTTTATCATCAGGGAACAGACAGAAAGATTCATTACATAGATATGCTTTTATTAGAAATAAGACACATTCATATTGTGCTCTGAAAACTGTACATCAACAAAAAAGCAGTAGGGTGCATGACCTGGGGATGGGGGGTGAGGGGAGATCTGTGTTGGAGGTAAGGATGGCTTCATGGGGTTATGGGAGAGGGGGTGTGGGGGTGAGGGGGTGACAGACAAACACATATCTGAATGACTCAGTGGTGATATCAAAACACACACAGTTACATAGCGATACAGAACACTTGTAGTCCAGTACCCTGATGAGTCAAGGGAGGGGGTGATGGGTGGGTCAATGGGTGGGGGCTTATCAGTATCAGAATAATCATGTTCATATTCATAATAATGAGAACAACTATCCTCAAGCACAGTAAGAAAGATATTTATAGGCTAAAATCCATTCTGTAGAACTCTGTTGAAATAATTACAATGCTATACATCAGGACTCCAGGTGAGCCTTGTGCTTCCCCTCTGTGCAGCCTACACACACACACACACACACACACACACACACACACACACCGTCTGATGACCTCATTGGATGTCATCACCGTCAACCAATGAGTCATATATAAGTAGAGCCGCGTCCTAATGTGCTTCTCAGGGCACACACGCACACACATGCACGCACACACAAGGGTCTTTTCGGTTCACTTTTCCAGACTGCCAACATGTTGAGCTTTGTTCTTCTCAGGGTGTCTTTACTTTATGAATTCTAAGTAGCTGGGCTCCCACTGGATGATACGGGCCAATCAGGGCCAGCAGCCCACACATGCCCCGCCCACACCACAGTCTCTGAACTCTCCCTGCTTTTTATCCTCCGTCAGGTCACAGTCCTGTTCACCTCAGCATGCTCAAATCACTGTGCCCAGATCGGTACTGAGGAGCAGATTGGGACCAGTCCAGGTCCTTAAACCCAGCTTAGTGTCACTGAAAGGCATCTGAAGCTGAGCTTAACATCAGCCTCCATCAGGACAGCCTCAATATTAGCCAAGAGACACATCAGGATTATTACATGGTAACAGTTGAATACAGGGGGAGCATGGATATGCTGTTTAGAACATCTGGATGATGCACACGTAGAAGCACTCAGTCTCTTGTTATGAGTCAGCTGACTGTTGTCCGGACAATCCACTTTTCAGCCACATCAAAGTATCAAATGAAACTCTTCGCTCCAAACTCCATTTTCCAACCCTGTGAATCTGGTCCTCAGCCCTCCTCCGATTTAAGTCCCTGCAGAGGACTCCACTTCATTTTGTATTGAGCATGGCAGTGTGCAAGAGTGTGCGTGTGTGTGTGTGAGTGTGTGTGGTGACAGCACTGAAGATGGCAGGGAGCCGTGGGGTGTGAGACCCTGGTCACACTTCCGTCTGCAGGTCCATAATCTCCTGGCCCACCAGGGGAATGGTGGCGCTGCTCTTCTCCCACTCCACCGTCTGCAGCTCCAGGGGCGACGCCGCCACCGCTTCCAGCTCCTTCCTCACCCAGGAAGGGGGTGAGTGGGGTTTGCGGATGCCCTCCCATACCCTCTTACTGGGGGTCTGTTGCTTATCCTGCAGAAAAGGACACAATGAGAAAACTCACCTTATTTTATTTGAGAAACATTTGAATAAAGCAGAAGTGGCCAACTCCAGCGTCCCAGAGCTGGCATCCTGCATGTCTCAGATGTGTCTCTTTTGGAGCACAGTTAAAGTAATGACTGAATCTGGTTCTCAGCATGTCATAAGGTGCTGCAGATGAATCATTCATTTGGTTCAGGTGGGAAAGAAGAAAACAGGCAGGTTGTCGGCTCCTGTACACTGACGGTGGCCTGAAAGTTACTTCATAATATAAACTCAATATAAACTACATCAACTTAAGGTTTCTACTTTAATTCTTATGTAAAGTGCAAGAAGACTGAATGGATTTCTTCAGTTTTTGCTTTTTGTAACTAAATGTTCCAGATCATCTCACAAATTTTACCATCAGACAAAGGTAACCTTTCAGAAAAGAAAAAGAAAAACATTTGCAAGTTATTTTATTTATTAAAGGAAAATAAATATCTACACCAACCTGGGACAATATAGTGTGGACTATAGAAATTCAAGAACAGATGAAAAACAAAGTCAACATCTATCAATTCGGAAAGTCGTTTGTAATGGTTGAGGACTCCAGAGAACCTCAGTGAGATTGGCTAAGAGAGCAGAGAGGAGGCTAGAGCAGCGACTTGTCCAGCAGTTCTCACACAGAGATAATGCATGCTATTGCTTTTACAAATTAATCACAATCAACACATATTATGACTTTGTTTTTCTTACAGTAACCCCAATCAATCCTGCTGATCAAAGGAAACACAAAGGCCCATCTCACAACTCTGTGTGTGTGTGTGTGTGTGTGTGTGTGCGTGTGTGTGTGTGTGTGTGTGTGTGTGTGGAGACAAAATCAAAGTAGATTTTTTCCCCCCTTTTTTTTTGAAGGGTTCCAAACAGTGGAACAACTAGTTCTTAATTTGTTTTCACAAATACCAAGGTTGGTTTCTATATGGAATTTTACTTTGGCTTTTTCCCCAATAAAAAAAAGAATAATCCGAAAACAGGATTTTATTTTTAACTCAGTTTGTCTTTGACTGATGGTGGCAAGGAAGCAAAAACAGAAGAAACCTGTTAAGAGGCAAATACTTTTCACAGCACCATAAACTCATTTAGCAATACCTACAGACAGGATAATAAATGTATCTTATCTCAATGAAAATGGTGGTTATGGAAATTAAAGCTATATTTTTGCAAAACAAACAAAAAAACAAACATTTTTTTCAGTGAATCAACTAAAATATGAATAATAAGGAAAGCATATGTGCTTTCCAGTAAAGGAGCTCAATGCAAGCATGAAGTGGCATGAATGTCCCTCCCTCCAAACCTCCCTTTTCCTTGCAGAGTCAATTCAACAAAATTCTACAAGTGATGTAATAAATTGGTTAATAATGAAACAGGAGAAGCAGAGAGGCAGTGCTGGTTGTTTGGCTGCTGGTGTCATTCAGCATAATGACCATGGGCTCCTTGCAGGTTTGTAGAGCCCTAAAAACTCAGGGCGGCAGTGGGGTCACACTTCTAACACGTCAGTTCCACAACAAATATAAGAATGTTTAATATGTTGTTTTGATTTAATGTTTGATAGCCACATAAGTTGCACCAGGTGACAGAACACCAAAATTTTACAAACAATTTGGGTTGACAGCTGAGGCAAATATAGACATACTGTGTAGAGATATCAGGCATAACATTATGACCTTCCTGCTAGTGTGTTGAACTCTGCTGATGCTTTCAGATCCTTGAAGTTCTGGAAGAGGATCGGCTTGTTTGTATATAACATCCCACAGAGGTTGAGTTGGCCCAAGATCTTAATGTGCTCATATTCTGTCAAATTTCTGTCAGAATCTTCGTTAATACTCTGAGCTACACTCCCACAAGTGTTGAGACAGACCTCATGGGCCAGCCTTCATTCCTCATGTGCCTCAATGGGCCTTCATGAACATTCTTTAGTAGATATTGCACACTGCAGAACACGGACACCAGACATCTGCATCTGCAGGTGATCACGCTCTGCTCCCTTTCAAACTTGCTCACATCTTTATGATGTTTTTTCTGCCCTAATAATTGGAGCTTATTGTACATTTTAGGAGGAACAGGGCTAGACCAAACCCTACTTTCCAAGGGGAGGTGGTTGAGGAATTTAAATACCTCTGTGTTTATCTGGACAGCAGACTGGACTGGAGACGCAACAGTGAAGCATCTATAAGGACAGAGCAGACTGGACTTCTTGAGGAAGCCAAGATCCTTCAAGATTTGCAACAAGATGCTGCGGATCTTCTATCAGTCTGTTGTTGAGAGCGTCATCTCTTCATCCGTCATCTGTTGGGGCAGCAGCATCAGAACCAGGGACATAAAAAGGCTCAACAGCCTGATAAAAAGACTGGTTCTGTTCTAGTTCTGTTCTAAGGACGACTGTGGAACCTCTGCAGATAATGATGCAAAGATGGATTTTACATAAAATTAAGAAAATTAACCCTGACCATCCTCTTCATGAGACTGTCTTAGACAAACACAGTATTTTCAGTCAGAGGCTTTTTACAGACTGCTACAGGAGATCTTTCCTGCCAAAAGCCATTAATGTCTACAGTAACTCTTTGAAGAATTTGAATTAATATGAGTTACAATAACTTTTATTTTCCCTTTGGGATTAATAAAGAATTTTTGAATTTGAAGGTCTATACTTGCCACAAAGCTGTTATGATGAGATAATTAGTGTCCATTCTTCTGTCGGTCATAATGTTATGCCTCATTCATGTATGACCTTAAGGACTGCTCTTAAGCAGAGTGATACAGTTATTTTTAATTTTATGTTGATAGTCTAAAGTTAAAAATAAAGCGAATCTGTGAATCTTTGAGAAAATTGGCATGAAAAAGAACTGAATTTATTTATCAGTATTTATATAAAATGAAAAAAACTAACATGCCCTTTAAGAAGCCAGAAAGAAAGATGCAATGAAATTTGAAACAAATGGGGCATATATAAGACTGTTGCAATGAACAATTAATTAATTGCATGATAAAATAAGGTCAATAATTTCCATTTTAAGGATTAATATTTTTTGAAGGGAAATTCTTTTACAAAAATGTCATAGTCTATTTTATTTATGGCTGTGGTTGTGTGTGGTTTATACTACATTTATGTTTATTGATTCTGGTTATGTTTTATTATTCCTGTTTCAGTGTGAAATGTTCTGTAAAAAATTAAAGCTCATTAATCTTTGAGAGAGCGAACTTGCATTCTTATGCAAGTTCGCATCATTTTCAGATCTATTACCTGAAAATGATGTCAAACAACATTATCATTTATTGCAATAATTTTTGAGACGATTTATGATCCAGCAAAATTTATCATGACAGGAATAGCCATATATGCTTGACCCCTTGCTTCCTATGACTCCTCCAGGCCAACTCTTTTTCTTTCAGGTTTGCATTCTAATCTCTTTGTTGACTTGAATGGTAGAGACTGACCTCACGTACACAGTTATTTTTTCTTCTTCTTTGTTCTTAAAACTGCAGAAAACTCAGAAAGGTCTTAAAAACTGTAAAGTGAAGTTACCTTTTTCAAATAAAATAGCGTGAATAAAATACAGCATTTAATAATTTAAGGCAAAGCAATTATAATAACAATTGTGACGATCTGTGTTTTTGTGTATTTATTTCTTGGTTTTGTCTGTGTCCTTGTTCCCGTGTGAGTCTCTGTGATGTCCTGTCCTCCCTGTTGATTGATCCCAGCTGTGTCTAGGTTTCCTGATTACCCTCCCTGTGGATTTAAGTCCACCTGTGTCTCTTGTCGGGTCCTCGTCTAATGTCAGTAGTTGTTGTCGAACGTCTATGCTCTCCAGTTGGACTGCGAAGTCCTGGTTAGCGTTAGCTCTCGTTTTCTGTCCTCTGTGTATCAGTTGCTACCGGTAATTAGCTGTGTGGTATACTCTATGCCGTGACGCCTGTATTGGACTGTTTGAGCTTTCATCATTAAATTAATCATTTTCTTCACAACCTGGGTCTCAGTGTTCATCCTCACCACCTCCCATTCACCACACCATGACAATAATAATGACACAATATTTTTTTTATGTACATTTAAATTAGTTTTTTGTTAATGACTGAATGTCAGAGACCTTTTGGAGGGATGGGGGCTTGAAGTTAAACAGGGGCACACTGAACAAGATCTTAACCCTATGGAGTCGCTGCCCGCCGTGCGGCGTACAAGCATGTGACGCATTTATAAGGCTTCGTAATAACATGGACGCATACCGAGTTTTCATTTCAACTCTGTTGGACAGCACGGACTTCAAACTTTATAAAAGTGGTGTTTTTATATTGGTTTTGTGGTTATTTACTTCAAAATAAAGCCAGAAATAAGATTGATCATTTCCGCCTTATTTTGTGGGGTCTAAATGTACCACATTTCGAAACAACCAATGAAAATGTGTTGACGGTCTGTTGCTAGGTAGAACGGAGACACGCAGAGAGAGACGGGGGCGGGGGGACTTGGATATGGCAAGAGACTAGGGTGCAGCCATGCTGTGGATTTTACTAGGTTTTTTAGACTATAAGTGTGTTGTTAGAGTTCGTGGTGTGTGCAGTGTTAGTAGTAGTTTTGCTAGCTATCGCTACATGGCTTCATAGCGAGCGCTGACGCACTGAGAAGAGAGACTGCGCGCCGGGATGGCCATTTAGACCTCGTCTTCAAAGGGTTAAAACACCAAACAACAACATAGCAAAAACTCATATTAATCAAGAATCTAATATTTTATTGGATCATATTGTATCATTGTCATCATGTGGGGACAATGCAAAGCAAATGTAATCTAGGTTTTCCCCAACAGGTATAATGTTGCTGTTTCTGCTGCTGTCAGAGCTGGAGGACTGTGTAGATCTGAGACTGTAGTTGTTAAACAGACCAGAGAAGAGATTAAGGTTGCTATGAAATAAGCAAATTTGCTGCTATTTTACTAAATAACCCCTAATAATATCCCACTGTTTGATCTCCATAGCAACCTGGCTGCAGACTGCTTTAAAGATCAAAAAAGCTCAGAGGGGTTAACTCTACATATTTTTCAATGTTAGCATCTCATAGACCTAGAATTGTAAGACTGAGAGATAAATAATTTTCATTAGATTTTGTCATTCAACAAGATCTTGAGAAACATCCATGCATTTAAGTTTAGTTGATTACTGCAACAGTGTTTTCATAGGTCTGCCTAAAAAAATCTATCAGACTTCTGCTGAAGGTCTAGGGCCAATATAAATGATTGAATTGTAACAGAGACCACATATATAAAACTTTAGCATTTGTTTAATGAGAAAAAATAAGTATTTAACAATACTATCAAATTTTATTTAATGGTTTCAGCAGAGATAAAAAAAAATTACATTTAGGATTTAATTCAAAAGTTTACTTTGTAAAAGTGCACAAAATCATCTTGATAGTTTGATTGTTGTGTTACCATGGCTAGAATCTGAAGCTATCTGTAATCTTTGTGTTCGAACTTGGTTTGTTTACAAATACATCACAGCAAATAATAGCCAATAATTGGTGGTTGATTTTAAGCTTGGCTAATTAACCTGGTCCCTCTCTCACAGACTTCACTAAATCTATATTTAAAAACTGTTAGTGATGTTGATGTTCCTAGTAGGACGCGAGGGCCCTAAATCAGATTCTGCCTAAGGCAATCAGGCTGGCCCTGCATTAAGAGGTAGTCGCTGCTCTGCACATCTCTGCTGGATGCGAGAAACTAATAGGGAGTTTTTATTTATGAGACACTAGCAGGGACAGACCTTCAGGCTCTTTTGTTTCGTGACTATTGGGCCACAGAGACTGTATCGGTTGCTTGGGTTTTATTTTTATTTTTTCATTCTGTCAGCAGTGATGTGAACCCGCCTGGTAGTAATGTTAGGTTAAGGGGAAGCAGAGAGCTAACAGTGAGAAGGCGGTACGGGGGCTTTGAGGTGTGTTCTGTAAAAAACCTCAGAGGCCTTCAGAGAATATCTGCACTCATCCTGTGTAAACACTGCTGGATCCTAGATGAACTGAAGGGGCAACTGCTTCTAACCTCTGGATGTGTCAAATTAAAAGGGGCAGTTTAAGAACATTTGCCACACTTTTAAGATTTTTTACTGTTTTGAAATAGTGTTTTTATTTAAAAACCATGCCTTTTCCTCTCTTTCCCTAGTTACACATTGTCTGTGTTGTTCAATAATAAAACAAATCTTAATACATTTCCACTGGCAGGTTGTGGTTGTAATGTGACAAAACGAAAGTCACTACAATCAGATCTCCACACTCAGCATTTGGTATTGATGGAAGTGCTACATATGCTCACCCACAGCTTGAAGCCACCATTCATTTATTCTGATTCTAACAACACAGAACGATAAACCACCATGTTCAGCACCAAGGCATTGACAATTAAACAGGAGAGCTAATGTCACTGTTAATTTGTGCTAATGGTTAGAGGGAAAGGGAAACATTCAGTATAGCAGAAGGGAAGGGGCAGAATAAAATCAAACTGTTTACACTCATGTTGGTCTTGTCGCTGCCGGTAGAGGACACACTCCATCTTTTGGCAGCTTTGGCATCAACAGGTGGAGACTCTCTATCCTTGTCTGCACTTTGAATCTTCCTGTTCAGGTCCTGAAACATGTCCTGGTGCCGTTTCCGGGTGTGCATTATTTTCTACACAGGAACATTGCACGTTACGTACAAGTTTAATAGAACAGACTACCATCAGTTCTACTTCTGCTTTCTCTGCACATTAAACGTTCCTACTCTGCACATTACTATCAGTTCTAGAAAATAAATGTAGTTAAAAAAAGTAGAGGTCTTTAAAACAGACATCAGGCTTTTTGGTGCAAGTTTCAGAATCTCTGTAGGAAGCAAAGAAACTACAATTACCTCAAAGTCAAGCTCTGCATAGCGTGATTTTCGTCTCTGGGGGGAGATGAGACAGAGAGATTAAAATTCCTTCTAGATATTGGAGGCCTTGTGAGCAGAAATACTCAAGTGTTTAATAGTGGAGCTCCACATGAACCGCTTTAGAAAAGGTCTTCCTGGGCTTAACAGGAGTGAGTCATGGGGGACGAAGCGAGCTCTGCTGTTGGTTATTCAGACCCCGCTGGCACACGTTTTCAACAAACAGCTTGTGACCGAATGACCTTTAGGTCAGCTGTCCCAGAGAGCTGAAGGAAGGCCTGACCTTCAGGTTGCCTGCTTCCTCTGGCAGCTGCTGCCTCTCACGCCATTATGGAAGTGTGTTTTGCCCCGGAGTGAAAAGACACCAGCAGGCAGATGTCTGAGCCACTTTGTGCTGATCGGCGTGGCGTCTCATTCACATGCTGCTGTCTGTAGCGCGAGCTCACAGAGAACTAACCTTTTTACAGATGCTCCTCTAACATGGGCCCAGAGAAGCTTCTCATTATGAGTGGAAGCAAGCAGCTGTGGTATGCATCAGCTCGGAGATGACCAAAGTGATGAAAACATGAAATGTTTTGACAGCAATTGATGATACTTCTAAGTATTGGAATGATTATTCAGTTTAATGTTTGCCTCATATGGTGATCATAGCTGGGAATCCTTTCTCACTCTAACGCTGTTATGAGGTACAATAAATTATTCCAGAAAGCAATTATAGAACTTAATTGTTCCTTCAGCTGCTTGTATTAATGATTAGTTTATGTTTAATAACAGATGCTGCATCATTCATGACTGATGCAGGATAAACAACAACTTGGTTAAAGTTAAATGCTGATTTCTCTGGATTATGAGGCAAAAAAATGAGAAGATGTGATGAAAGGATGATATTTACAGTTTTTACATTCCACATCTTGCATATTATCATATTTCATTGAACTAACCCCACCAGACCAACTGAATCATTCTGAACACTCCAAGCATTTGGTCCACTTATTCCATCTAAAGATTTTACCTCGTCATTTGAAAAGTTTATGACAAAAAAAATATAAAAACAATGTCTCATTTCCACATTTGTGTGTTCAGTCAGGATTTCAGTATAATTTGCCTTTCTCATTAAGTACATGTACTTTCTTTCTATAGAAGTGATATTTAATCATATTTACATGTCTATCTGGATTCATAGGAATATATAAATCCTCTGGTCCTTACAAGGTTACTAAAGCCAGTTCAATCTATCAGAAGTAGAAGAACATCCACCAGATGTTATTATTGTCCCAGGGCTGCTTCATATTTAGTTCCATCTATTTTTAAATTAAGTCCAACTAGCATGATACTGCCACCACCATGTTTCAAACTGTGGGGGAGAGGTAACTATTTAACAGGAATTGGGATGTTTTTTAAATCATACATTATTTGCAGAAAATTTGCTTGTTTGCTCCTTTTTTAATATTCCAAAAAACAAAAAAACAAAAAAACAAAAACACCTGAATGGCTGTAACCCTAAGAGTGGACATAAATAAGTCTGCATATGTTAGCTAAAACAGTTTCCATTGTGCTTATTAGTGCATATCAAGAGAGACCTGCTTGTAGAGCAGGTCTCAAGTATCCACAGGTTTGATCTACCTCCTGGAGATTCTGGTGATTAATCTCCAGAATTACCAGACATAGTTATACCTAACAGGAATGTTGCGCCACCTACCCGATGTGCCGTAGCCACCTGTCTACCTCTGGATGAACAGAACCTCTGAATGTTCTGTGACTTTACAGACACATCTGAAGAAAACCTCACAAACACTAACAGAACAGGGACCAACGTCTGAATAACCAGAAGTAAAGAACAGACTGCTACAGCTGCTCTCTCATATCTATACAACACATATAAAGCAGTAAATAATTAATGACAATTTCAAGCATGTTGAAAACTGTTGAAAACCCCTGCAGGAGGCAGGGGCTGGAAGTTCCCCGTCCAGCTTGGTCATGCTGTCAGGGACTCTGGATTTCCCAAAGTAATCAACCGTACAGATTTTAGTTTCTGTGTGGTTGAAACTAAAATCATATTCCCTGTTTGTGCAAGAGTCTTGGTTCTGAAAGGACTTCCAGGTGATAGGTTTAGCAATGCACCTGCATGTGGAAATGATACATTACTGCCGCCTTTAGAGAACTGTTTTACATCTGTCAACATTGCATGTCTGGTTGTTGTTTTGATGGGGCTGGCATTATTTTATGAATAATTAAGTTGGCACTTAATAACAAAACGATGGAAAAAAAAAAACACATTTTCCAAAACTGGGAAGTCGTATTTAAAATGTAAATTAGATCACATGACTTTATCAATAAATCTGAAATTTAACTGATAAGACAAACAAATCTAATGTCAGATCTATTTTTATTATTTACTCTGTTATACTGTTCAAAAAACCAAAATCTTACAAAGTAATTTTGGTCTTGTTTCAAGTGCAAATATCTAAGTATGCTTGAAATAAGACAAAACTAACTTACAAGTAACTTTTCAGCAAGAACAAGGAGTTTAAAATCAATAATTCCTTAATATTGGTGGAAAGGTGCTAGTTCCATTGGCAGCTTATTTCACTTATAACATGGGGAAAAATGTCGTTAGATTTTATGTTTTTGCAGTGACTAATACACCTGTTTCATTTACACAAGGTGTTCCACATGTTGTGGAAATGGAATCATCATTATTTTGTACACGGTGTAATATATAAAAAAGTTTAATTTTCTGGCATTTTTAAGTCTTACAGGAAGTGGAAATAAGTTTATTCTCTGAGTCTATCTGAAACCCAGGCAGGTCTGGTGGTCTTACCTCCAATGAGCTCATGGACAGTGTGGAGACGGTTTCACTCTTGGATATCACCCCGGAGTTGCCAGAGTCGCCTGCATCTGCCAAGCTGCTTGTTGTCTGCGAGTCTCTGGGCATGTTGAGGAGATTGTGAGCTGGTGAGTCTCTGTCAGTACATGACACACTGACCTGGTCAGTAGGAAGGCTCTTGAGCCCAAAGCCAGGGACTGGCTCTCCAGCAGTAGAGTTGGCCAGATGGATGAGCCTGCTCTGAGGGAGCTGTTCCATGGTGATGTTATACTTGCTGGTCTGATCATCTTTCCCCTTGGCGGCCTTCTGTGTACCTGTGTTGTTAGCTGGTAGGATGACGTACCCCGGGCCTTTGCCAGTGCTGTCCGAGCTGCTGCCCTCCCCGTTCCCTCGGGGAAGTTCCCCGTCCAGCTGCTTGAAGAGCTCGCCATCACAGATGTAGATGGATTTGGCACCGGGGAACTCGGTGCTGATTCCCTTTGCAGCAGCACCTTTCTCCCGGCGCAGAGAGAGGGTGTGGCTGGAGTAGTCAGCCACATTCTGGAGGTGAACCTTGGTCATGCTGGCTGGCATTGTGTTAAAGTTGGATCCTTTCTGAAGGGTGAGGGTCCCGGCAGAAGCCTTGTCTTCCCCCTGGAGAGACGAGCGCTTCGCTGTGCCTGGAGATCAAACAGAGATGAAGGATAAACTTACCCACCTAACGCTTAAACGATCAATAGACCTTCAACACATTCCACCAAAACAAAAGAATTAAAAGATAAAATTTTATGTTACATTAATTAAATACAAAAGATAAAGTGGTTCAAGTCTTTATTATTGTGTATCAATATTGTTTTGTTCATCTTTGGGCTTTGACTGGGCCACTCCAACACTTTCCCATGGGTTGTGTCCTGCTCTGTCTCAGTTTTGATTCTCTAGAGCAGTGGTTCTTAACCTGGGTTCGATCGAACCCCAGGGGTTCGTTGAGTCGGTCTCAGGGGTTCGGCGGAGCCTCTGCCACGTGTGTAAAGTCATGATGACGCCCCGTTTTGCCATCACTTGCTGCAGAGGATCACGTTACAATTGCTTAGCTAATCAGTGCTGCGGAGAAGAACTGATTGAAGGAGTTCCACTCTCAGCATGGATTTAAACTTGTGTCTTTAATTACTTCAGCAAAGCTCATTGTAGCTTTCGGTTTACTTCCAAATCTGCTCCTTAGTCGCATCTTTTCGGGGTTAGTTCTGCCTCTAGTGGCGTGGGGGGTGGTAACACAACTAATATAATTACATTACTAAATCAGAATACGGCAAAGTCTTTATTATTTATTATTAATTTTTCATTGTCTTAAGAATGAAGAGGTAATTAAATAATCTAAACAAGACCTTAAAGTGGTTCCAGTTTCTCTCGATGGCCAACCTGTTGAAACTGTGGAAAATTTTAAATACCTTGGGTCATCCCTGGACAGTCAGCTCATCTTTGCTGAAAACACTGACTATATTTTGAAGAACTGTTCTCAGAGACTCTACCTTTTAAGAAGACTTAGTGATCTTGGGGTGACCCAACTAGACTCTAGTTGGGTCACCCCTATGTCTTGAATTTTGGGGAAAAAAATAATATTTTATTTATCACTGCAGAAGGGTTCAGTGAATGCGCATATGAAACTGGTGGGTTCGGTACTTCAAAAAAGGTTAAGAACCACTGCTCTAGAGCTTCTAAAAGGTCCAGAACTTGGTCTAGTAACTCTGCAAAGCTGCTTCTGCTGAAGAAAAGTACCACCACAGCATAATACTGCCACCACCATGTTTTCCCATTTGGACGTTATATTCTAGGTGATGTGTATGGTAGTTTTCTCTAACACATTGCAGTTTCTATCTAAGAAGAAACAGTTCAACTCTGTTCCCATCTGAGGAGAGCAGGATCTTCCATATTTGCAGTATTCCCTACATAACTTGTGGCAAACAGCAAACTTTATATCAAAGTACGCTTGAAACAAACTGCAAACTTTATATCAAAGTACGCTTGAAACAAACTGCAAACTTTATATCAAAGTTTGAAGTTTGATTTTCCTCTTTTTACTCTTTCAATAACAGCCAAATTTATGCAGTGAACAAAGATGAGCTGTGAATCTCAGTAGCTCCTCAAGAGTTACCACCAGGTGATCAACAAGTCAACCAGTTCTGAAGTCCTTCCACTGGTTCCCTCTAACAACAGACTTTAAAATACTTCTGTTAGTTTATAAATCACCAAATGGTTTAGCAGCACAATACATGAATACTGCTGCTGTTGTATCAATCTTCCAGACCTCTCAGATTCTGGTTCCAGTGATGCAGAGCAGATGTCGAGAAGCAGCATTCAGCTTCTATCCATCACAAATCTAGAACAAACTTCCAGAAAACTGCAAAACAGCTGAAACACTTAGTTCCTTTAAATCTAGACTAAAAAGAACTGGACTAAAAAAGTGTAGTTTTAGTCCAGTTCTCATTTGTTTCTTCTGTCTGCTCTTCTTTAAGATGAACTTTCTGGACCAGCAGCCTCTCCTTGCTTAATGTTTCTTTCTTCTGTTATTAAAGCCTTACTTTATTAAAATCTTCTGCTGCTTACTCCTTCTCCAAACAATGTAGTTGGAATGTTCTTTTACAGGCTATATGATTTTAAGTAAGCAGCATAAAATATTCTTAGCATATTGCAACATGGGGTATTTCATAAAACGTTTAGGTTGCTAAAATGCCTTAGACAATGCTTCAAACTAATTTTCCAAAGATCACTCTCTGTGGTCCCTTTTCCTGTTTCACATCTCCAGAGAAAAACAAAAACAGCAATCTTGTCTCTTGTCACTTTTCCATCAGGTTTTCTCTGCAGCTCAGTAGCTTTTCTGCTCCAGATGCTGCTCCTAATATCCTGTCTAACGTCAAAATCAGACTCCTACTCCCAGCGGATTTAAGAGCAGAGCCCATATCTGATGCAGTGCTGCCAGAAGGGACTTCATTATACAGCAGCAGACTAGGAGAGACTCAGACTCATTTAACTGCTCAGCACATGTCCAATCCACTTCCATTCGCCATGATTTAACTGTGGCACACAGCAGTCAAGCTGGATCTCTTGTTGAAACACTTCCCCGAGACAAGGAAGTTATTATAACTATTAGACACAAGTGCTTCACATCTGTTCCAACAACACAGAGGAACCTGCAACAGTCAAAACAGACAGATGAGCCACACAGCAACAGCTGTTCCTAAAGCTGAATAAAAGACAAACGACAAATTAAACATATCAAACAGTAAACTTACCGGATCTGCAAGCCATATCTACGTCTTTTTCAAAGTCAGTCTGAGGATAGAAAACAGCACATGTATTGACTGTGACTGTCAGACTGCATCTCGGAAAGAACAAAAAAACAAGATGGCTGATGCTTACCATGAGCTGCGCATGACCATTTTGAAAAGATCCACCTGAATCTCCATTAGTGTCTTCCTGCCGATCCACAACACGACACTTGACCGCTTCCTGAACCTGCAGGGAACCATGGGAGCAGAGGTCACTCAGAACAGGACAAATACTAGCAGCACAGATACAGAGGGACAGGAGGGGGATTTTAATAACCGAGTCACATCAAACCAGACAACCTAATCCTTCTAGTTTAGACAACAAAACATTCTACTATTTAGGTTCAGATTTAATGGGGAATTTTTGCAGTTTACCTCTATGAACCTTCTGCCCTTCTGTGTCATGTGACCTTCTGTAACCAGACAACTATCAGTGTAGAGAGTGCTGCTGAAGCACTAGTCATTCATTCTCCAGGTGTTTATGAAGCATGAAAACACTTCTTCTATAGATTTTCTCAGAACAAAACTTACAATAACATGTTATATCCTGAAATATCAATAAGCCATATAAAAACAGAATAAATATGCTAATTTTAGCCTAGCGCTTCAGTGAACTGCAGCACATAAAAAACAAAAGCAGCAAGATTTGATTTGGCTGAAGAATCACACTAATGTAATACTGATGAAAGATAGTGTGTTACTGCATTTTAAAGCTACTGTGGTTTCAACAATTAATTTTAATGAAGAACATACACTTAAACCCACTAACTGAAGTCTGCTAGTTTGGTGGTTCAGTTCAGTTATCAGATTGATGATAGGCCTCAAAATACAGTAATATCGTCTTTCACCCATATTACGGTAGCAATACCGTAAGCAATTTGGCTTAAATCAAGCCAAACTGAAGCTATTTTCCACTAACTACAGTGGGTGGTCATGTTGGGTACCTCTCTACGCAGGATGCAGTGAACCATTACGATAACAAAACCTTCCAGAGAATCAAACACAGCGAAAAGAATCTGGAAGAGGGCAGAACGCCGGTCAGTGATGGCCAGGACAGCAGACATCCATGTGAGGGCCAAGAGAGGCAAAACCACACAGGAGCTCCACAGTGACGCCCTGCAGGACATGAAGAGAATTACAGTCACGCTGTGGCGTCTACGCAAAGCAGAAGCTACGACTACAAAGGTTTTCTACCTAATGTACAACTGACATTTTATTACGTAGTTAAGATTAGTTTGCTTTCACAAAGAACAGTCTAACAAAAAAAATATTGAAATAAATAAGATTACTCTCTTTTTCAAAAGTAAAACAGGAAATAATCTGAATAACAATATTTTGTTCTTCAGTAACTATAGGCTGTAAATAGAAGTTCTTACCCATGCAGAAATATATTAATTTCTTTAACTACGACATCATCCATCATGTGCTATATAAGTATATAAATAAATATGTTTCTAAATTACATCTCTCATATACATGTATATTTAAGATGATTTAGTCAAACCATATAGGATCTAGTGCCACAGGAAAGAGAGGGAAGGAGTGAAGGTGAGGGTGGAGGTCAAAATAAAAGATGTGGAATGAGGCTGAAACAGAATGTAAAGACAAACACAGAAGGCAGAGCAGGACAGAGAGAAAGAGAGTCTGAGCTGAGGAAGTGTTGTTCCTGCCTTCCTCTGCTTATTTATGTTTCTGGCTGATCCCATTTGTTCTAATGAGAGTATTAGAGATAAACTCTTCTCAGTGCAAGTGTTCTGAAATGAACTGAGCATAATCAGCACTTTCACTTTTAATTACATAATATCCAGAGGTGGAAAAAATACTCAGCTAACAGTGTAGCACATGCAGTGACAGCAGAATTTTTCTAATTAATCTATAGCAAAGCAAAGGAAACTAGAGAGGAAAAGGCCTGATATTCCAAATAACTGCTCATATTATTCTAATCAGCTGACAGTTTGGACTTAGGCTGTTAAATTCATTATCTTTATTCAATATATTTTCAATTACAGCTAATTACACATGTCTATATGTTTTCTGTGCAGCATTTCTATGATTTTACTAGCTGCCCACTAGTGTTAACCAAGGAAAGTGTTTAAAGGAAAAATAAATGAAAAAAAAACAAAACAATCTTAACCAATTGAAGTTTGTGAGCTAACAAAACTTAAAGCTGCCACCAATTTATGACACTTAAGAATAAAGAGCACACAAAAAGAAAAGAGGACAGTACGATGTATGCACTGTGTGAATTTTGTCCTCATTTATTAATGGCAATAGCTCAACTTTTAATGCTATTGTTATATGTAACAGGTTTAGCCCATAGAACACAATATTACAATACAAATCTTTTAAGGTGATGAGATCCTCATCTGAAAAAGTTCAGACTACTATGAAATAATATTTTATATATATATATATATATCTATATATCTATATATCTATCTATATATATATATATATATATATATATATATATATATATATATATATATATATATATATATATATATATATATATATATATATATATATATATATGTATAAATTTATAAACAACAGCTAAAGGTTTGGACACACCTTCCCATCCAAAGTGATTTTAAATTTACCTTCTATAAGTTGAATACAAAACAAAAAAGTTTTATAAATGTAGACATGGACAACGGTCATGAAAGGTCAGGTGAGCAATTTTATGTCAGTGTGGACTTGGAGTGAGGCAAAGAAAATCAACTTATAGTGGAAAATTATTAGTTAAACCATTATTGTTAGCTAATCCATCCATCCATCCATCCATCCATCCATCCATCCATCCATCCATCCATCCATCCATCCATCCATCCATCCATCCATCCATCCATCCATCCATCACACCTGCTTATCCTTGCAGTGCTCCATAGGGGCTGGTACGTATCATTGTGGTACGTCCTCGACAGGTTACCCATCCATTGCAAGATATAGTGAAGTATATCAGGTATTTTTCCTGTTCTTTAAAAATTTACAACAAAGATAAAAGAGGCAGACTGCAGGAAAGTCTAAAGGCTCCATAAGGCTCTGACATTTAAGTAGCCTAAATGATATAGAAGATTTCAAAAATACAAATTAAAACTGTGGATTCCTCTGTTAGCAGGTTGGAGAAAACTGGACAAATAAATTAAGCATCTATAATAAATCTTTTTAAGCAGAATTCACTAGTCTTTTTAAGATTTTTTAAGTATGATGGTGTTTGTGATAACTAAATCTAAATGTGGGCTTAGTTTATTGCACAAGACACTAAATACTGGAACATCATGAACAAGCTGTCTTGTGAATAAGGGTTATTTGGACTGCATATATTTTTATGCAGTGTATAAATGTGAAGTGTGTATTAAGTCAATTTTATTTATTAAGACATGACCTTACTTTGCTTGTGTTTTTGTTGTTGAAAATGTGCTATATAAATAAAATTACCTTTACAAATATATAACTGGCATTTCATACAATCTCCAGGATTCACTGAGGTTAGGGACCACAACCATCTACAAAAAATACCTGAAATACAGAAAAACTTGAGATCCACCCTAAAACTGCTTAGAACTGCCTATTTTAAAAGCTGAACACCAAGTGTACCTTATATTCATCACTGGAAACCCTCTTGGCACAGCTGCAGAAGCTAACAAATGGCAGCATTGCACCCAGGAGTTTCAGCTTCGTTCTTTTCCAATAGGCTCCTTCACAGATCAGGTGCTTTTCACAATGCGGTATTTAAGGAGTGCACATATTGTTTTCAAACTTAAGTACTCTCTCAGTGATTGGTACTGAAGGGAGATGACTTTGTCCTGGATCAGTGGGAGGAACACTGAGAAAAGCAAACATGTTAAAACATCATGTTACAACGTGGAATTCAGCTCAGTGTCGTGCTGGATATCTGGGTTTGAATCGATCTCTGAGAGTTATCATGCTAAGACCTTACTTCTAACATTTGAATGGCAGATACTCATATCTTACACAAGATTTGGACTAACAACATATCTGACAAACCCTGTTTCAGGTTTGTCTTTGTGTGTGCCATTAAACCTCTGTTGCAATGCTTTCACCTTGAAATTTAAGAGAAATCTTTTGAACTAGTTTTTGTCCTATGGATAAATCTGGGTGGGGTATGCAACAGACAATTGCTTCCAGCTGCTGAATTAAATATTGTTTGGAAAGTTTAATAAATCACACAAGAAACTGGCTCTATGAAGATCTCTGGACTGGCATCTAAGCCAGTTTTTGATAAATGATGCCCAATAGGTGTTAAGAATCTCAGTTTAATCAGTGATTAACTGGTGATAAACCAGTGACTAAACCTCACTAACTTCAAAACTAACATGAGTTAGTTTGATGGTCAAGTTTGGTCAAAAATACATCTTAGTCTAGGGCAGTGGTTCCCAAACTTTTTCTCCTGGGACCCCCCAGTGGTTTACAAACTATTTCTGCCCCCCGCCCCCTATGGATTACAAATAGCTGTCTGGTTGAATGATGTGTGTGAGCGAAGGGGGTGGGAGGTAGATTCTTAGAGACTTCCTGTTATACTCAGCCCCGGCTTCAGACGAACAAGGGGGAGGGGAATCAACTTTCTAGGGGGCAAAATGAATCGTAGCTGAACATAGACAACACCAGTAGCTTACAAGCTACTTGTTAACAAGGTTTAAGTGCTGTATTGATATTAGCTAGCTAGGCATCTTTTAGTTAACATTACCTGCATCCAACAGCATTACTCAACTCAGTCGGTTAGTTTGGGGGAAAAACTGAAATGTTCTTTGCGTTTTGCTGGTTTGCTGCCATGATTCTAACACACCTGCGTAGTTCTGCACAGCAGCAGCAGGTCTCCTTCACTGCCGCACAGATGTAAACCCAGGGCCAGCGTTGTACCGCTCATGTTGCGTTTAAAGGCGGCTCGGAAAAACAGGTTATGACATGTTAACAACGGATTAAACAGTTTTAACTGCTGATAAAAGTGACAGAGGACACAGATATGGAAGTGCGGAAGACCCTACTGTATCAAATTGACAGAGGAATAACAGAGAGTCGGCCATTCTAAGGTAAAAACCCAGCGCATACAGTATTCATGTATTTTTGTTTTTCATCCAGACGGCTTCCCGCGCCCCCCCTGCAATGGCATGGCGCACCCCCTAGGGGGCACGCCCCACAGTTTGGGAATCTCTGGTATAGGGTAAAAATAAAAACCTGGAGTTTATCTAGGGTTTGATTTGTTTAATTTGATTTTAAAAGATAACCTAATTCCCCACTTTACATGAAGATTCTAAATATGGTATCACATACACACACGTGATCTGTAGGTTCAAATTTATATTAGGAATTTTCAAAGTTTCTCTCACATACCAGAAACTACCAACATGTTTGGAAAAGTAGCTAAAAAACAAATAAAATTTTATCATGTAAGAGTCATCACAACTACAAGACTCAAAATTGCTTTTTTTAAAATAACATTAGATTGAAAAATGTTGTTGGCTGGAGTCAAAGTAAATGAATTAGTTTAACAACTGATGCAAAGATATGAGTTTATCCAGGTTTTATGTTGATTTATATTGACAACCATATTGTCAAAGGTAAAAGGAATGATAAATGAACAACTTATAACTTTGTATGTACTCCAGAGTCATTACTCTTTAAATCCCATTGAATTCAGGTGGGTTATGTTGTTGGGAAGAGTTTTGTGAGACATTTACTGACTATTCAAGGTTGAGCAAAGAGAAAATGGACAAATGTTGCATTGTTTACTTTATTGACAAACTGAAGCCATGTTAATATGTATAAATGGAGGAACTGATGGGGTTCGAGTAATGACACACATTGTTCTCAAAATGTCTTTTTGAAATCTGCACAATAAATTATGACATTCATACAAAATAAATGCATTGTAAAAAGTGTAAAAAGTGTTAAAATGACACATTTTAACAACACTTTTTATGTCTTTACAATGTATTTATTTTGTATGAATGTCAATATATATAGTAATAATGTGATATAGTATTGTAAAGAAAGTGAATATATTGTCAGTTCAATGAAATTCTCAGGTTCTAATGTGATATAGCTCTAGTTTGTTTGGTTTGGGTGTCAGCTATTTATCTCCACTCCCTACACCAGCTGTGTTGGTTTGCTGGATCAGAAACAATGTTCCTCAAGAAGTGGACTTAAGAGATCCCACATGATTCAGAAAAAAGCAACATGTATGCAAATGTAATACAAACTGAATTCCTGAGAAAAACAATGGTGTAAATTAACCAGATAATATACCAAATTAACCAGCTATTGCACTACTTGTTGATGGAAGCAAGATGTTAAAATTATTTCAACTTCACTGTTACACAGTAACATGATAGTCAATGACAGATGTTATGAATATAGTTGATCAGACCTCATGGGGAAAATTGACAGACCATAGATATGCTGTGATATATAACAGCATATCACCTATGCTGCTATATGTCTCAAAATAACAAACATCTATAATTTGCTGCAGTGTTTCACCAAAGTAGATCAAACCTAGTTTCTTCAATATCATTTGCAACAACATGTTTCAATAATCAGTTGTTTCCTCTGTATTTAATAAGCACTAATGTCAGCAGTGTGATCCTACTCAGGTGCCAAATTAATTTGTAAAATCAAAAACACATGCACTTGTTTTCCTGCACTCTGGAAATATGAACATACAGCTTTACAGATTTACATCTATGTGTTGACTGAAATTTATATTCCATGGTACATTTTGGTCAAAAATATATTATAGTCTACGGTAAAAATTCCTACTTAGTTTACTATACAACAATATTGTTAAAACACAAAAACTAAATTGCCAATCGTTCAAGATTATTGTTAATAATTCACTTCCTATGTGCATTGGAATACTGATGATGTAACTCCTCCTCCAAAAACATTTTAATGTCATGTTGTTTCATGATACAAAGGATTTTATCGTCAACAGGATTGATGAAAGAGTAGCCTGACCATTGCCTTGCTGAGCTTTTCTGCTTGATTAAAATCTCATTTTGTAGCTAGTCTGGGCTTTCTCCCAGTCACTTGGATTTCAACGGTAGAATTACTACTGGGTCAATCAGTGAACAGAAGGATTGGGATACTTGTGAATGATGCTTCCACATATGGGAATACACTATTACCTGTTTTCTTCTCTTGTATTGTGAACTAACAAAATGTGTGCAAAGCTGTTATCAATAAAAAAAAATTGGACAAGTTTTAAATTATACAACTTTAAATATATGGTATTTTATCTCAACAATTTAATATCTCCAGAAGTATATAAATGAAATATGTACACAAAATACTGCATAAGGTTTCAGAGTGGAATGAGAAAGTTTTTCAGTACAATCTTAGGAGTCAGGCAGGGTTCCATTTCATGACTGTTCTTGTTCCCAATGACTTCAATCCTAATACAAATGGATGCAAGAAGTTCATCCTTGGAATAAGCAAAGCAGCTTATTACCTTGGCAGTGTGACAAGTAACAGACACAAGATTAGATATGGATTGTATAATCGGAAAGGCGGCAGTAGTGCTACAACAGGAGCTCCCTTGCCAAGGGACACCCTTTGCCAAGCTGTGCCGGTGGAACTCTATTGTCCTGTCAGCTGCAATTTATGCCTGACACTTGAAAAAGTACACAACTAATAAATAAAAGATTATTTTTCTTCCCACTGATGAAGCATGTAAAGATTTAGTTTGACAGGATAAGTATTGCGACTTGCTAATCATTGTCACTCAAACATTGCGAAGGCAAACAACAGAGACAGACCCGAGAACACAGGCACCATCCGAGAAGAACTAAAGAAATTTCTCAAAGCTTGTGGAGCCACACAAGCTGTGAAGAAATGGTGAACTCAAAGACATTTGCCACCCAAAGTGTAATTCAGCAAACAAGGACTTAAGTCTAGGTAAATCCCAAGAACTTTGGAGATACTCACTCTGGAGTTGTTTGACACTTTTAGTTCTGCGTTGCCTTATTTTTTGTGCTAATGGTCATCAGCTGATGAAAATGTTCAATTATTTGACTACTTTATTTATTGCTTCTGTTTCAAGTTGCATTTTGAAGCTCAACACACAACTTGGGATACAGTCCTGCATCAAGAGATGTGAACACTTGTGAACTTTTCCTCAGTTTTACAATATTAATCAGAACTATTTTTATATTTATTTTATTTTTATTTACATATTTACTTATGGTTGCTTTTCTGGACAATGGAAGCCAAAATAAAACTTTATTGAAAAGGTGTCCAAACGTTTGACTGTTGGTTTTATATTGATGTATGAACCAGCCTTTATCTGGAGATTGTTCTAACTTTAAGTTTTTATTTACATTGAAAAAACTTGGAACGTTGATATTTGGCACATTCACATTAACTTGACAAAAATAAAAAGTTTGTTGTTTATGAGTTGCCAGAATGTCAGCATACAAACTATGAGGTGAAATGATGCATTGTAATTGTTCAGGCACGCCGCATGAGACAAATTTTGCTATTTTGGGATATGTGTGGCTTCTAGCACTGAATGCTTCAGATAGAAGTGGAAACCCAAACAGCTAACTCATCTAGTCAAAACAAGATTTTATGCCAGAAAAGCTAATATTGGAAAATTATGTTCAAAATAACAGAGTGATCAATGGAGGCACTTACGGATCACAGCAAGGCGCACACACACAAATAATTACTGTGTGTGGCTGGCCTCTCTGCAAACATGGCCTCCTTATTGACAGCTTTGTGACTCTTATGAGACAAACACACAAACACACACGCACACACACACACACACACACACGCACACACACACATACACACTTTCATTCAATCATTTAACACAGAAGAATAGGCAATTACATCACAAAATTAAGTTAACAGTTTTTGTATGAGGAACATATCAACAGCCTGACTGCAAGAGTATTGTGAGAGGGAAAAAAATGGCAGAAGGATAAAGACAGAAAACGAATCAAGTGAGAAAAAAGAACGGCATACAGCAGAGGAGAGAACAGAGGTGAGAAGAGTTAAGGTAAAATATTTAGCGGGACTAACATGGCGTTACTGGTAGCTGTGGTGGAAACGTCAGCCGAAGAGATAACTCCGCACTTGGCACATTTGAGCGTCATATTGTACAGTGGCACTGTCATCTGACTGCAAAGTCAAATTAACACGCTGTAACATACACAAACAGATACAAATGCTCCTACACGTAGACTCACACAAACACGTGCGCAAATGAGTACACGCAGGACACTACGGACACACACACACACACACACCTACACACACACACTCATTGAGTCACAGTGTTCTCGCACAGTCTCTCTCTCAGGGCTGCAGACCTGCATGAGGTTTTGTGTCCTGTGTGTTTAGATGTGAGACTCAAAGGGACAGGGTAAGTGGGACAGGTCATGGCCCATCCTGGATGTTTTTTTTTTTATTTTTTATTTTTTTACCAAAATAATAACATAAAATAAAAAAATAAATAAATAAAACATTATGTGATTTTTTTTCTATAAGAAGCCAATATATTGGTAATATATTATAAATTCATCCAGCATGTACCTTCTGGTTGTATGCTTGATAAACTTTAATTCAAAGGCTTCCAATAAACCCATCCAAAGTAAAAACCACAAAATAATCCTGACAGCTCGTCTACTTCATCACAAACTACACATTTCCTCCGTTAAACCTAAGGCTTAAAAAATAACTGATTTCATTCGCACTGTTGGCAAAACCAGCTACAATCCAAGTTAACTGCTTAGACAGTAAACCCCCAGTAATACTTGAGAACCCCTTTAAAAAAGGCTTAGAACTGAACATTTTAATAGTTCAAATGCCAAATATACCCTAATATGCATTAATACACGCAGATGGAAACCATCTTAGAACTGCCGCAGAAGCTAACATCTACAGCAGATATCAAACTCATTTTCATTTTGGGCCATATCAAAATCATAAATTATTCAAAGGCCGGTCTGTATTGATAAAACCCATTAAACTGCTAAAATATGAATAAATGGCAGGCTGAATTCAACAGGTACATTTTAAAAATAAATAATTTCAAACATATTTTCACATTAATGTAATTTGGCAGCAAACCAATAAAAACTGCCTTGGTGTGATTGATGAAGTAAACCTTGGCAGCCTCGAGAGACTAGAGGAACATATAAAAATCTATGAGTTTATGATGTACGGTTTTCTCATTTCCTCTGTTGGGGGTTCAGTCAATCAGAGGCAAGAAAAATAAATACAGCTCCTGCATTCACTGCTAATGCCAGCCAGCAGTGCTTCAAGTAGCATCGTGCCAATTACTCCAGCTTCCCAAGCTTCATTTTCTTCTGAATATTCTAGTTGCATTGTGGATCTAGAATATATGGATTATGAAAAAATATGCAAATAGGCAGACTTTCCACAAATAACATGAAGTTATGATTAGCAGAAAAATCTGGAAATATGAGAATTTGCCAATTGTGACCCTAAATTTCCAGAGCGACTCGGTCTCACTGATAATCCCACATCACATTCAACTTTTTGTTGTTGATGTGTGACAGAGTCAAAAGTTAGTAAAGAGGAAAGAGGTCACATCATGTAAAGACTTGATGACAAAAGCATAGCAGACGATTGTGCAGTTGTTGAGCCTGACTGCTCAACAACTGCAACTTTACACACATGCTGCGTTGTCAAGCAATATTATCTCCATAATCAGTGCACTATGTAATGTCACATCTCCTGCAAAAGCATGTCACTTCAGGGGTCCAGTCTGATGGCAGTTGCCTCCGTAAGTTATAATGTAAGCTACCAGAGAAAAAGAAAAAATGGATTTCCACTAAAAATTATATTAGGTTCAATTTTAACCTGATGACCGTGCCTATGCTCTTTATGTTTTAACCGTTAAAACATAAAGAGCATAGGCACGGTCATCAGTCCATCACATGTGCAGAATGTCATTAATTCTTACATGTTTATGTAAAACGCAAGTTACTGTAAGTGAAAACATGCAAACAATATTTAATTAGACCCCTGCTGCTCCTCTGGAGGACGCTTTCCCTCCGATGAGCTTTAAGGCCTGTGGGCACTCCTATCTTCTTTAGCTTCATAAGCTAAAGTACACTGTCCACTGATCTGATGGGACTCCTGTCAAGCACCACATTCATAAACATTATTTCACATTATTTAATTTAAAAATAACATTCTATTTACAGGGCTGTGAAATCAGACACAGTTCCTAGGTCAATTGAAATTATTCCACTTCTATCAACAAAAATATTTTGCAGATATAATTGTTCTTCAGTAAAATATTTTTAGAATCTCACAACTCAGGATAATGCTGATTACAGGCTGCATGGAGGGCAAATGTGATACAATAATAATAATAACAATACTGCTGCAGGACTTCAAGAAAAAAAAGGAGAAACTTTAATTGTCCACTAAAGACTTGTTAATTTTTTTTATCATTCATCAACTATTTACAGGATGAAGGCTTTAGCACTGTTAGTCAGACTTGTGTACACTCTGCTCGGTTTGCTGCAGCTGTGCTAATGGAGGAGGAACAATTTACCATCCCAGGAAAACCAACGTCATCGGTGGCCATGCTAACTAGTTTTAGCTTTCGTGACAGGGTCCGCTGGGCAGAAGAATTTGCAGGGCAGTAGCAAGCAATGGGGAGGGTGTGAGCAGCATGTACACAAGGATGATTGACAGCACATAGACCCTCCTCCTGACTGATTGATTGTTTCTGACCAGTAGCAGCATATTTGCAGTAGGAACACAAGAAAGAGGCAGAGAAGCCTGATTATTTGTTTCATATTACTCTGTCAGAATACAGTGGCATGTTAAAAAATATATAAGAAACAGAAATACTTAGGATCACTGATGAGAGATGTTGTCTGGACTATATACATAGATCTCATCTAGATATATGAGCTATCATGTGACCTGTAGTATGATCAGGAGGCATCACTTTTACAAACTCTAACTATATCAATAATGTCACTGTAGGACTGGTACAGACAACAAAATGACCAACATTGATAGATAATAAACTAATATCTTCCAAGATGGCCTTTCACTACACAACAATTAGAGTTGAGGGAATCTATATTTTGCAATGGGAAGATGAGATAAAAAAAAAAAAATCATAATTGGTTGATAATAATTGAAATAGTATTTCTAGCAAAAGGACAAGTCAGTTGTTAAACATACACTAGAGGTACTGCTTTTAAAAAACTATTTGAGTTTTTTAAGCAACAGTTTCTCTGGACTGAAGAATACACCAGCAAAAAGTCTCTGTTTGGCTGAAATTTAATAAAACATGACAGCTGATTACTTTGATACAGTATTTAACAATCCAAACAGAGATCTGTTTGGATTACAGATATCTGTATGTGTTATCTATACACATAACATGACAATAAAAGAGAAGTTAGACTAAACTAAATGGGAGGATAGCTTAAAAAAAACATCACTTGCTGCTATAAGAGATGAATACAAAGTTTGTGGATGAAAGTGTTTAAGTTTTTTGTTGAGAAAGAAACATGTTATACTTTTATTGTCTGGACATCTGTTTTCATATTTAACTTGGTAATGGATTTTGACTTCAATGTTCACAGTGAGAGCTGACCTCATGATGTAGATAGCGCTGTGCACCCAGTAGGTAGGAGGAGGGCTTCAATGACTTTCACTGAGTTTGATTCTTCACTAACAGTTCACTGAGGCTTGCCTGGTCACTATACCACAGAATAAACATGAAACAAATTGTTTAATTTTTAACAACATTTTGTTCCATATTTGAGGTCAGGATCACTATTTTGATTTATTATTGCAATCAGGCTGTAACATTGAGATTCCCAGCTCAATACAATAGCTCTTTTATTCATCAGGCTCTTCTCCTGTGGAACCAGCTCCTAGTTTTACTCCACGAGGCAGACACCCTGTCTACTTTTGAGACTAGGCTTAAAATTGCATATTTTATTAATGCTTAGCATTAGAGTGGCTTAGGCTATGCTGAGCTATATCTGTAGTTATTCTTCAATAGGCTTGGTATATTGGAAGATAAATTGACCACTTTTTCTTCTTTTACTACTCTCCAACTTGCATTATTTGCTGTTATTTCAACTTAACTTTTTGTTTTCTATCTAAAAGAAACAAAGAAGCTACACCTGGTCTGACATTCTGATTGGCTGTGGTATGTTTCAGGAGCAGGACATCAACTGAGATAATACACTAATTATCTCATTAACTAATTGTTCTTCTCCTGCTATTAACTTTTTACTTGTAATGAACATCAAACATAATACATCAGTTTGTCTGTTTCTTTTTGTCTGTCTGCTCTGTCTTCTCAAACCTCCAGTAGGTCATGGAAGATTGTACTGAGCCAGGTTCTGGTAAGCTGGAGGTTTCTTCCGGTTAAAGGGGATTTTTTCTTCTCCACTGCAGGTACATGCATGTTCAGAGGGATTAATGTAAAGGCAACAACAAAACACAAGCAGTTGTCACTGCATTCTCCTCCCGGAGGAGTGGATGCTGCGAGTCAATTACTCCATGTAATTTGCTAGTTTTCTTATGTAGAAACTTTTTAAACTAATTTGAACAATTTACTCTGCTACTGTACTGTTTGAAAACGAAAGACCAAAGACTGAAATGACACTGTCATCAACAGTGTCATTTCTCCTTCTTATGAACATGAAGGAGTCTTCATGAATGTTTATGACTGGTTGTCATTTGGTAAATAAAGGTGTCATTATTTACCAAATGACACTTCAGTTGTAAACATTTATGAAGACGCCTTCAACTGGAATATATGCACCATTGAATTGAAATGATTTTTTGTAAAGTGTCAAGATAACATTTGTTGTGAATCAGTACTAAAAAAAAAGGCAAGTCAAATACATTCATACTCATGTCAATGATCAATGGAAAAGTGTATCTTCTTTCAGTTCTCAAGAAGCTTTCTGCATGATTCTATTGATAGTTTTTATGGTTGGAAAGTCTCCTGGAAATCATCCTCATCACAGAATTTCTCTGCTATTCAAGTCTCTGGCTAGGCAACTTCCACAAGTGAAGATTACTTTCAGTCAGAAAAACCATGGTGTAAAAAAGTTGATTTTAGATGTGAATCTGAAAGAGGTATGAAGAATGTTGAACCATAA